TTTTTATTTTTAAATAGCTTTTAAATATTTACTAAATTTATCTAAATATATTAATAAATTAAATTTATTTAATAAAATATAATAAAATTTAAAATTTTTTTATATTAAACTTTATAATTTTATTAATAATTATTTTTTATTTTTATATTAAATTAAAATTTATAATTTATAATTTAATATATATTTTTTAGATTTTTTAAAAGAGTTATTTTAATTATAAAGTTATTATAAAAATTTTTATTAATTAAAAATCAATAAAATTTTTATAATAACTTTATAATAAAAATAATACTTTTTAAAAAATCTAAAAAAAATATATATTAAACTAGAATTTTAATTTAATATAAATAAAATTATTAAGTTTAATATATAAGTGAAAATTTTAATTTTTATTATATTTTATTAATAAATTTAACTTTCTAATATATTATTTTTGGAATTAATATTTGAATCAGTTCAAATATATTTTTTAAATATTTATATAATTAAATTACTAATAAATTTTTGTTCAAACTATTTAAAATTATCAGAAATTTTTAATAAATTTTAATAAATTTTAAATAAATTTTTATATAAATATTTTTTGTAAAACTTTAATATATAAATTATATAATAGAATTTTTTTAATTATTTTTTAAACTTAATTTTAAATTAATTAAAATAATATTATTAATATTATTTAATAAATAATCTTAAGTAAATTTTTAATAAATATAAAAAGTTTTATATTTTTTAAATAATTTTTTATTAAATTATAATAATTCTAAGAAATTAAATTTTTTTTATTACTAATTATATATTAAACTATAATGTATAAATTTTATTTTTTATAAAAATAAATTATTTTTTAATAAAATTAAAAAATTTAATATAAAAAAAAACTTATAATTTTATTATAATTTATTAATAAAATTAATCTTTTAATTTTATAATTATAAAAATTACTCTATATATTTAATAAATTATTATTTAATTTAAATTATATTTATTTATTTATAAAATTTATTTATTTTAAATATTTAATATAATAAAAATCAAATATATTGAAATATTTTTTAATTTAAAAAGCTTGAAAAAATTATATTATAAAATAATAATATATAAAAGAAAAAGTTATTTAAAAAGTAATTATATAAATAAAAAATTAAACTTATATAAATTAATATAAAGAGCACAAAGTTATAGATATTATGTATACTAAGTCAAACTTATTAATCTGATAATCTGATTTTGTTAATCATTTTAAATCAATTCTTTATAGCTAGCTATCTAATTTGAATTTTCCAGGTAGGTGGCTATAAAGATTTAACTGTTCAGAGGATATTGAAAGAAAACTGCGCATTACTGCGGCAAATTGAAACTCATTACATGTACATGTATTTAGGATATGTCACGAGTTAAGATTCAATTTTAGAACGGTGAGCATAACTTACCTTCTGTCTGTTATCCCTTTTTTCTCTTAATTCGATTAAATTACACAGATATGCATTAAACTTAATGCGGCATGACCTTTGCTTTCTCGTAAATGGTAGGAATATTGTTAACGCCTCTTTATGTGTATTAGAATCATATGATATCGCATTATTATTATTATTACTATAATCGTCATTATTTATTCTCGATGTGTGATGGCGAAAGTGCTGAAGGATGCATCAGTTACTTCAGCTTCAAGTTAGCTAATTAATTAATTAACTTAAGCATATTCAGTTTATCAAGTGGGCTTTTGTGTATGTGAAAAGAGTGTGATCTCAATAAACTTTTATTATCACAGCATGATTTTTAATGTGGACTTTTGATAATGTTCTCTTTACAATCTCTTTATTGATAATAATAACGATGATGATGTTAATAATATTTATTATTGTTAATACATGTATTATTATAATTATTATTAAAAAACGATAAAAATAATAATAGTTAATTACTATTGTTAATTATAAAAGTCAAAATTCTCGATGTCCACGACTAATGTTAATAGATGGCTTTCACAAATGTAAAATTTTAGTTGCATTTGTCTCTTGTTATTCGTATAAGGATTGAATATTATGAAAATTTCATTCCAGCAAACAATCATACTTTTGGTGTCTTTGTCTAGTAATGTGCGTTTTGTCTAAGCTAATCTGTTTCACTTAAATCATCGAACGATGAAATGATAAAAAAAAAGCAACCAGAAAAAACTGAAAAAATTTGAGCAAATACTGCCCGATACAAAAAAAATAAAAAAAGCATGAGAAAAAGATTTCTGCATGATGCTGATGCTTATCATAATAACGATAAAGAAAAAAGAATAATGAAAATGATAATCATGATAAAATGTTTAAGATGCCCTTCCTTTTTTTACATTATACTAAATAGACGAATAAATGATCAATCGATTGAATGCTACTCCTGCTTCCTGCGTAATGCTTTAGGTTTTTGTCGTCGTTGTTCCGTATGTTATACGTAGATACCGCGTGAATCAAGCTACATTATCGTTTGATCACACAATATTCTCAAATTATGATTAGAATGAGAAATTTAATGGATGATTGCCCTGCTGCTGCTAATGAAAATAATACGAGTTTAAAGTTTTATTATTGGTGATGAAACGATGACATTAATATGATCATTTATTGTCTGACTCTCTTTCTCTAGCGCTGCATATTTCTTGAAAGCAAGCATAATAAGCAGGCGATAATATGCGCGATACCTTCCGTGATAACAAATGAAGATAATATGTAGGGATTAAATAAGTCTGATGACGATGAGTCGTTATCAATATAATTTCAGTGGACATATCAGAAAAATTAGGATAACTATTCTTATGTGATTGTTCTCTCTTATTACGTGTGGTAGATAGATGTTATGAATGTCAGTCGTAGTCGTTTCAATCGATGAATAATGTTTCTCAAGGCTTTATTTATATACCGAGACGGTAGAAAATAATTTATTTACCGGCAAAATGTCATTAATATACATATCAAAATTAACAAGTGGAACCCCCCTTTGTTGACATAAATAAAATGTGGGGTACAATATAAGTGGCATGAATTTGTGTATACGTAATCCTTTTTGACATCACAAAGAACAATAAGTAACACACACATTGCTGCACTGACTACCCAAAAAAACCAAGCGGTGTTGCTACTCCGGGGAGTGGTCCCACAATTTTTGAATTTTAGGATGTTATGTTACAGAATAAGAACATTTACCGTTCTTCAGTCTCCCTCTTTTTTTTTTCCGTAGCAACCCCATAATATAATAACAAAATGGATGGATGTATTGACTGTGTCCGTGGGCATTACACCGATCAAATCTGTCAAAATGTTCTCTATATATATGTGTGTTTTTTTTTTCGAATGTATGGTTTTCCTTTGTTACCGATAATATTATATTTATTTATTCATTGGAATCTTATAATTTTTCTGCATTGTGGAGAACTTGCTTTCTATCGTATGTGCATTTCTCAGTAAGCAATGCACAGCAATAACGTGCATAATACTTTGTGCACATACATATAATCGATTGTGTTTTCTATGCTAATACTTTTATTGCAGACAAGTAATGTTTAGTAGTATAAATTTGATTTGTATAAACAATAAGAAATAAATGGGTTCCATTGTTTTACGTATAAATAATATATCGGAATTTTATTTATGTATGTTTGCAGTATTCGTTAGAAAACTTTCCATATTGGAAAGATATCGTTTACGAAATCAAATTATTGTCGTGCATAATATTTGCATGTTCAAATAAACTTTAAAAACTGGAATAGTAAAATTTTCCTCCGTAAATATTTTTAATTTGCTAGTAATTGTCTTTTCCCTCTTTCTAAAAATCTGTTCATTGATGGCGACTTATTGATACCTTTTTTAGTCAAACTCACATAATACAGTCTTTTCCTCGCGGCGGTATATAATATTGCGTTTTTTACGGAGACACACACGATAACTTTAAAATTTCTCACGTGTGATAAATTTTCTTTAGACCTCACCGATTACTAAGAATCCCACGTGCGCTTCAACCAAAAACATTATCCACCAAATCTGGCTACAAACAACCGACTCGTAACACGTAATACCGAAATGGTCCCGAAAATTTGGTAATGAAAAATCCTAAATGTCACCGCTAACGATATCAATATATGATATATAAATGTATCAAGCAAAGCAAGAAGCAAGCAAGTAAGCAGGATAATAATTACGAAATTTTCGCCTTTTTATACTTTTTTTTTTCTTTTTTTTATTTAAACTTTAAAATTCTAGCCGACGCAGGAGTTTGTGTGTTTGTAATACACATCAAAGTAGCCAGATAAAGCTCAGCCTTATATTTTTTATTATTAGTTTCTTATATTCCTTGCTTCGTTTTATTTCTATTCTCATTGTCTTTGATTGTTCTCATTCTTGTGTATTAGTATGCCGCTCGTGTTTTCGCGTTATTTTTTTAGTGTATTTAGTTCATACAATTTAACACATTCATTCATCACGATGGAAAGGACAACGATGCTGTTGATAATGTCTATGCTGCTTATGACATAAACTTTTGCATTCGACCAGACAGAGTGAGAAAAACACGGAGAAAATACATATATATATATACGCTCGAAAGCTCCTTGTGAAAAAATCTCCAAAGCTTTTCTTCCTCCTAGCATTTGACCATCTTATTCACCAAAGCTTTTCGCCACCTATCTATATATATATATATATTTTATTCGGTTGTTATTATTATTATAATAATTATTATGAATTTAACGTGCCTTATATCATAAATAGAACTTATAAAAAATTTTAAGTTTTAAGAACCAATTATCTATCGTCTCCATCCAAACATACACTTCGTTTTTCCGTCACTAAAAAACAAAAGCTTTCCTCAAAAAATAAAAACAAACAATTCATCCTCAAAAAAAAAAATAAAATAAAAACAAACAATTCGTCCGCCAATAAAAAAGCAAATTGCGAATTTTTCTTTTTAATAGCTCTCATACGACACACATACGCCACAAATTGTTATTTTAAAAACAAATGGATAATTTTTCAGATTTTGAAAATGAGCTCGAAAGTTTATCTTTAGCTGCATCGTCGTCGACGGCACGAACACTTTTTGATGAACTCCGAGACATGCATATAACTGACTTTGAAAAAGCTCGAGAAGTATATAAATTTCTCCTTTTCATTGATTCGCACGTTTTTATGTGTAAATTTTTTCTAATTTTGATCGATTTTTATTTTAGCTTGGAGATGAACTTTACGAATCATATGAATCGCATGAAGAATGGGATGAATATGAACAAGGATACAGCGAATATAGGTATATTTTTCTCGGATCTATATTTTCCTTCGATGTAAAAAGTTGTTCTCTTTTTGCTCAAAAATTCGTATTTCTTCTCTTCTAGTGGTCATAATACGGATAGCAGCACAAGCAGTAGCAGCAGTAGTACTTACAGGGGAAGAAGCAGGAGTAGTAGTGCTAGCAGTAGCAGAAGCGGCAGTAGTTGCAGCTCTCACTCGTTTCACGAGGATAACAAAGAAATTGACGAGTTCCCAGAAAATGTATCACCAAACTTCATCAAATCATTTGATGACTATAATGCACTTGAAGCTTACATCGAAGAGCTTGGCGATGAAGAATTAAAAGAACTCTTGAATAAGGCAATTTTTAAATCTTTTTTTATTTAGCATTATAATAGAATTAGAGCCACGGCTGTAAGCTAATTTTATTTTATTTTGATACAAAAAAGGATGAGGATGTGCCCACTGTATTGCAAGCAGTTGTCGAAAAAGTAAAAATGGCCACCGAAGAAAAAGAAGAGCTGCTACGTGAAAAAGCTGAAGAATTACGAGAATTAAAAGAAACATACGAGATGTTGGAAAAAGAACTAACGGTTTGAATTAATTTTTTCTTCATTTTTGATTTCTCGCCTTTTTACAATTTTATAATGTAATTTCTTTGTTTTTCTAGGTAGAACAAATTGATAATGACGACGCTGATAATAACATGGCTGCTACAAGCTCGATGAAAGACGCGACGACGACAACCAAAACAATGTTGCCAATTAGGTAAATTTTTGATTTTTCTATTGTTTTTACGCGACGCAAAATAACAACATAGTAATAAATAATAATTATTTTTGCACTAGATGGTTACTTTGCTTCCACATCAACTTAATTGCAATCATACTCTTTGTTTTGTGGAATGTATACGTACAATACGTACAATATAGACTTGAATCATTGATTAACTAAAAAATTTCTCTTCCAACATCATAAGTCTATGCTTATTATTTTATTTTCTCATCCATTTAAGGCTTTTTCATTAAATTCTTGTATCTCTTTAATTTTCACTTGTATAATAAGAATTCTTTTATCTCCAAGCATTATACTATACATCAACGTAAATTCAATAAGTATTGTTTTTAATTTCCCGTATCCCTTTCTTAACTTTAAGTCGTTTTACGCGATTTCCTTATATACGCATACACATAAATTCAATATGCAAAAATTTTCCAATTTTATAGAAATATGATTTCATGTTCATTCCTCCCACATAAACTTTCATCTTCAATTTTCCTTTTTGCTTTTTTTGATATTTTTGACAATTTTTTCGTTTTATTTCTTTTTTCTTTTTATTATTGTTTTTCTTTACTTTTCGTTAGAATCTTAGCATTATTCTCTTTTTCAATCACGCCGAAAATGTTGCATGTCTTTTTTCGTTTATTATAGATTCATTTTTGTTCACGTAGCGTAAAATAATAATCTAACGATTATTTCACCTTTTACAAAAATCGTTTACTTTCTCACAACCCAAAATTTTTGTATATAATTACTTGTGACGTTAGTTATTCTTGTAAAATAGAAATTTTTATTTTTTTTTTAATATTGTTTTCCCCGCTCAACACACGTCAAAAATATTTTCTTTTCTCTCTCTCACACTATTTCTTAATGAACAACAACTTGTGTACCTTCTTGATGTTGTATCTTTATTAATAATTTTTTTTATATATAATTAAAGAAAAGGAGCAAAGAAAAAATTTTTGCAAATCATGACACGTCTCGCTCTCTCTCTCGAACGCGTATATCTATCTCTCTCGTCTCTACTCTCTCTCGCGTTGCCTTGCGAACTGCTCGTTTTCGTGTTTATGTGTATATATATATGTAAATGTGTGTTTGGATCGTATCGCGTGCACGGACTATACATACAAATACATGTGCACGCGCGCGGGTTTTTGGAATAAAAATTTCCGTTTTTGCAACAAAAAATCGAAACAACGCCAACAAAACCAATCAACATCGCAACAAAATTATACGTGCATGCTTTGCTGTCATTTCGCAAAGAAAGAAATTATACTTTCATCTATCGATCGATCGCTATTTCTCCAATACATTTAGTAACAAAAATTAAAAAATCATGAACAAAAATCCCGTGTTACAGAAAAAATTCTCTTAGTATTTCCACCCCGAATATATTTTTCTATAGTAGCAAAAAGAAGTCCCTACCTATATATTTCGTTCGCAACTTTTCGATTCTTTGTATATTTACGAATTTTTAATGTATTAATCAGATATAAAACAATAAATATCGTTTTCACGTTTAATGCACAGAAAAAATGGCTACCTTAAGTTTGTTATTGGTATACCCACTCCATGGTCTATTATCCCCGGAATTTGAAGCCTGATATACCCGGGCACGTCGATTATACGAAATAACCTATATAAAATTTGTCAATACTAAGTGCAGAAGTACCCTAAGGATTTTGGCCCAGTCGGCAACTTACGATAATTTTTAATTAGAATTTTTAATATATTTGTATGAATTCACTCAAATTTAATGAATTTGTACTTAGACCAATAATTTTATCATGAATTTAACTATATCATAATTTACTTCGATTTTGGACAGTGAAATCATATGGTTTTTATTTCCTAGAAGTAAATTATTAAAGAAACTCTGGTTGCTGCCTTAAATTCAAAGAATTAATTTATTCTTGGAATTCTAACCTCACATGCATTTGTTAAGACTATATGACTTTGCAGAGACTTATGTCAAAAATTTATGCTGAACTTTATGATTTTTACCTGAAATTAATAGAACTTCGTGAATTTAACCGAGTTTGCCCAAAGTTAAAGAAATTTGTCGAATTTAATAAATTAATTGTAAGTTCTCAGCGAAATTAATGGCGGACATGCTTTTGCCTATATCTTATGAGGGATTATTCAAAGGTCGGACATTTTTTTAGGATGTTAGGAGCATGTAATATAATATTTGGTGTCAAAAGTGGAGATATATTGTAATTTATTTCATAACCTACTTGGGATTTGTTGCATTTTATCAAAAAATTTAATTAGCAAAAAAAAGAAAATCATGATGCCGTCAGCTATAAAAACTCAAACACGTAATTTGTTTATATTTTTCACTAATCAATTTCAAGTCACGTGTTGAAATATTATAGATGAACTTTTAGATATTAGAAAATGATAAATTTTTGAATGATTAATCATTACAAAATACTTTACATATAATAAACAGATTCAACATTATTTTTTTATATAGAAATTAATTTATTTTTAAAAATAAGACTCTAATAAGAAAATATTCTTATAAAGAGATTTAATTATATTATTAATTAAAAAATAAGTTAAATTAAATTATAAATTATAAATATATAAATAGTTTTATATTCTTAATTAATAATTCTAAATTAATATAACTAGAGAAAATTTTTTTAAGAATATTATTTTTATAAGAAAATAATATATATTAATAAATAAATAAATTAAATTTTTGAATTCTATTATATATCTAAATTAAGAAAAAAATGATAATTTTACTATTATTCAATAATATTAAAATTAGTCATATATTTCTAAAAGAATATCTCTTAAAAGAATTATACTTACTAAAATTCAAAAAAAAACTTTATACTTATACTTATAATAATAAAAGAATCTATATTAATTAAATAAAATATTAAAATTAATAAAAATACTATTATTCATATTTTACAAATAGTAAAAAAATACTTAGTTTAAAAATTATTAGTTTAAATATAAAATATAGTCCAGTGCAAAAATGTAGATATACCAAAAAATAAAATTTTTAGTTGTCTCTAATGAAAAATTTGTAAAATCTAATTAATGGTTATAATTTTTTTATATT